ATTATTTAGGAAACCATGGCGAGTAAGTAAAAGTAGAGTTTATTCATGAGTTACCAAGGTGAAACTACAAATTCAGCAGAAGTACATGATACAATTGCTTGTATTATCGTTGATTGGACCGAATTGATCGGTCTCCATTGGCATATACGTTCCCAAGCGGATTCCTCGATATTATCTGTGTTTTAATCATAGTGATGATGGATAGTGGCTAGCACAGGAATCCAGGATGCTCATTTCGTCTTATTTGGGACTCACTGGTCAGCTGGATACACCTGCCTCCCACCGAGATTCAGACTCGGAGCAATCGCTTCAAACTCCAAAGCATCATCCACTGGACCACTGAGTCACAACAGACACTTCTTGTGCATCGGGTATGGAACGAAATGCGTACCCTGGATTCCACTGCTAGCCACTATTCATCATTACTAGAAGTACATGATGTCGTCTTTTTCTTCAGCTTTTTGTCAGCTACTTAAAACCAATTCAAGGTTTGATTTGTGAGTGTATTGAATTTAACATGAAGTCTACTGGCGTTCAGTTACACGGACAATTATTAACTTGATTATTAATACAGAAAAATGATTTCATTCATACCAAGCTCTGATTTCACTTCATTAAGTCTAACATAAGAAAATGCCTTATCATCTTCACCTGGATCCATGTTAATTTTAATTTGATCATACCTTAAGTGTTAAAGATGTCTACCGATTGACTTCTTATTAATGAAGTCAAGTGTATGTTAAATTTCCATTGTAAACTCATATTTAATGATGATGAGAGTTTGACAAAATAAATGATATCACATTATTCTGCTCAATTTGTTGCTCTTACTTTATTTCAGTTCGTAAAAGCAAACATTTGTATGAAATCATTTCTATTTCTTTTCACTTTCATCCTGGATGATTAAATAGATTACAACTAACTTCTTTAAAATATTTATATTAGATGATGATTGACAGTGAAATGAAATATTGGACCGCGGCCGGATTCAAACCAACGACCATCGAGTTACTGGTCCGATCCTCTACCAACTGAGCTATAAGGTTTCAATTAGTTGGACGTTTACGGAGATTTTGTTGATTTCAAGGTAATATTCATTGTGAAGTGATATCAATTGGCAAACCATAGAAAAGGGGGGGGCACTGATTAGCTATTTCATCTTAGTGTGAAACTCTTCAGAAGTATGCACACATGACCCCATCATGGGATGAAATCGAAACCCTCAAACATTCAGCCACTAGGTCAGAGTTTAATTTTCCAAAAGCCATAAGATAAAACGAATATGGAATATAGAAAAAGGCTTATAAGGCTTAAGGCAATGACAAATTTACGACTGATCGTAGGTGTACCACCTATATTGCTCAAAGATAAATTTCAGTTACCATGGTTACCCCAAGAAGAAGGTCTTCTGTTCCACAAATGGGCAAGGCAAGCATTCAGAGACTTTATGAAGTAACATCACGCTTTAGTCTAAACAACTTCAGCCCTTTTGTAGCCTCAGCCTACTTCAGATGACAATTTACGTCAGTATGGACAATGAGTACACATCGATGTCACAGTTCATCGTCTCGATGAACGTTTACAAGCTCAACAAATGACTTACTCCTTTCATCTGAGGCATATAACCTCAACATTCTTCATGTGCTGGTCCCATGGGATGCCACAGATGCTGTGAGTGAAATGGCGGTCAAACAAGTGAAACTTAATCATACATTCTACGTTAAACTATCATATTTCAAAATTAGAGAATAGGATGAAATGAACTTCTATTCTTTATATTTGACCCCTGATAAGTATTAAAAGTTCTCATTGGCAGAAAAATTGGTACGAATTAGTAAAAACCAATTGTTTATTTTCTACCAATGCTAAAATTTTGTTGGAAAACGAACTATGACTTCTGATTTCATATCCATTGCCACGTGAGGTGATCAGTGCCATCAATGACTATGTAATCTGTTATAGCAAAAAGTCTCCGTACAGACCAGTTTAAAGTAGGCACATGCATCCGGGAGGTTGAAAAAATTCCTAGGTATTATTAAGTGGGTATCTAAATGTCCAGAAGACTCCATATTTTGTCAGTATCTTTACTTAGTAGGACTGTATTGTCTTTAGACTCCAATTTGATTGGGAAGAGAAGATCAGCCTTTCTGCAGTTAGATAAAAGCAAAGACTCTATAAGTACGTTTGTAAAGGAGTTAAATAAAAATGTTGGGAGTAAACACCCATAATGAATGGACGTAGACGCGGACAACTAATCTGTTAGCTCCTAGAAGACTATGATATGACCTAATTTGGTGTTCATTATAGCCTGTTACCTCCACTTTTTCCATTTTCTTCAAATTCGCTGCTTACCACTACTCGTGGTCATTACGTAAACTGTTTTCCACTATATATGTGAGCCACTTCACCTCTCAATTCACTTAAAGCCTTAAGCGAAGCATTCACAAGCATTCATCATTTCGGATAGAGCTGTCAGTACCCTCTGTAATATTCTCATCTTTTCCTGAGGGCCATTTGTAGGCTTTTTCGACTTTTCATAGTGGACTGGCGTTGACGTTAAACTTTTCCACACACTGATAATTGTCTGACCAGTTCCTCTCTAAAAACACCCTTAGTACCCTGATCGTTACCTGAGTTCGGAATGAACTTCTAGTTATACTTTCCTAAAATCCATTTAGCTTCAAAATAAGTATGCTGAAAAAAATGCATGATTACTGTCCAAGCACATGTTTTAGAAGGAACCACAGTCTTTCACCTATCATCTCCAGACAATAAAAACTGACATAATCCATCTGCATTCACCTTTGAGTTAAGATGAGTGAACGCAACGTCAGACATGGTCATTCTTTGTCTCAGAAATGTATGCTTACTTCAATAAGATGGCCATATCAAACAAAAGTGGCAGAAAACGATCAGTATGGCTCGTTTACTAAGGTGGTATTCCGAAGTTATCATTTAAATGCCTTTCGACAAGTTCCAGCCTTTATGCTTACACAATAAAGTTACACGCTATGTCTACTACGCTTAAAGGTTTTCCATTGAGTAGAAGGTGCCATAAGTTTAAGCATAAATTATATTTTTGACAATTCAAACTTTAGTCGGTAAAGTGACCAATCCATAGAGTACAAAGACGTGATAGGAAGAACGAAGTTGCCGAAAACAGCTTAGAAACCCAGTGGAAAATTGCCGAAGACACATCATAATGATCACGTTCAGCCAAGCAAATATTTAGCCATATGTACTGAATGCAGGTTTCACAGAGACAACATATGTCTGTGATCTGAAATACTAGAGTTCTCCATAGTGAAGCATGTTGCTTAACTTCATATTGAGTGTGAATAATGAAAGTTACCATATACAGTTTAGAGTATCGCTTCAGGAACTGGAACTCTTTGAAAGAGATGTCGAAAGAAACCTGCATAACCGTATTAGGAAGGAAGAAAGAAGATAAGCGATGGATCTTGACGGCACATGAAAGCTGATAGAGGCAAAAACTAACAACTTGGAAAAAGAGGCAAAGCAGCGAAGACGGGACTTCAAGTGAATATAGAGAAGACAGAGGTGATGATAATACCCAAACAATACCACCACCAACACCACCGACAACAACAATAACAACAAGATCCAATCACCATCAACGGGAAAAACTTTAGGGAAGTACCCCCTTCACCCACAATACTAGGCAGCATCGTTTCAAATACAGGCGGCGGCACAGGCACAGACAACGATGTCAAAAACAGTCAGGATCGGAAAGACATCATGACAAGACACGCCTTCCTTCATTAACCTCAAACCAGTGTGGAGATCTACTTCGCTGCTCTGCACTGCATTGCACTGCACTGCACTCAGCATAAAGCGTGAACAATATCCACATTTTCAACACTCATGTCAGTTAAGTACAAGTCAGTGCTTCTATGTGATGATTGAGAGACTTGGCGCCTTACGAAAATGCATTTCCAACAAACTACAGATATTCATCAACAACTGCTGCCTACGCTGGCTGGATACTGACACTGAAGTGTAGATGGTCAGAATAGAAGGATGAGCAACAAGGAACTCACTCTGGCTGGCTGGCTGGCAACGAACCAACAAGGCAAGAACCTATCGCTCAACAAATATGCCTGAGGAAGTGGAGATGGAGATGGAGATGGATTGGTGATGCACTGAGAAGGAAGACAGTTTGTGTACATCACGCGCAAGGCCATGCCGTCCAGTGGAGATGGTGACATGGAGGAGATGATGTGAGGAAGAAATGAGAGGTTGTGGGGAGTCATGAAGGCAGGTTGAGAAGGTTACAGAGAAGTGCCTAGTGTAATGGAGACATGCTACTGAATGTGTATGTTGTACTAGGAACCCAAGGGACAAACAGTAGTAATAATTCAGGAGAGTAAGGATGTCAGGTTATAAATTCAAAACTGCAAAACGTTTATGATGGGGAAAATTGCTAAACACAGAAAAGGCAAAAAAAACCTTGAAAAGTAACACGTTATAGGGGGGTTTGAGTATTTACAGAGCCATGAGGGTGGTTGATATGCTTTTACATTACTTATACCATCGATAGTTAGACATAATATCCCCTTAGCAACCATTGTATAACCTTCTACACACATCGACACACACAAGAGAATTTAAATACTTCGATTTACATAATATTATTATATTTTCATTTCTGTATGAAGAAATCTGAAATGTATCCTCGAGTTTATCTCTACTTACTATCATTTTGCAATATGTGTATATTTGAGAGTATAAACGTTTCATCAGGTCAACAGCCTGTCTTCCGTAATGATTATTCATCTTTTTGAGTCTCTCAATGTTACTATAATCAGACAGAATTCACAAATCCACAGCCGTTATATAATATAAAATAATAATGTTTAAAATAAGAGGGAAAATAAACAAATGTCAAGTTTCATTGATAAAAGGAACAGTAAAAACAACAGAAAACAATAAAATAAATCAATAATAATAATAACGATAAAAAGAATATAGTAGCTCACTTTCATTGCCAATGAAATGGTATTAATTAGTATAAAGATAAAAATGCAATATTCGAATGGTTGTGATGTAATAAACCACCAAATACGATATTGGAAATTTTCTTTCGGTATATAACGTTTCACTGGTCTGGCTTTCAATGCAAATTCAATACACTTGCGCTAGATATAGAAACATACAGATATACATAGAGAAAGAGAAAAAGATATATAGACAATAGTAGAAATTAAAGATGACATAACAAAAAGCAATAAAACAGTAGATTAGATGGGGTCGGGGGGGGGGGAGGGGAGAGAAATATTACAATATAAGTACAATTCATTGTTTATGTTAATGGATATTAAATTAATCTCTCTTCTTGTGGTATTTTAATCACTGTCTGTGGTTCAGGTTCTTTTAATATATTCGCTTTATTCTCCATTTGATTCGGATGATATATTCCATGGGCTGATCGACGTGAATGTAACCAACGATATAAGAAATAACCGCCTACAGCTAAACAAGCTACACCTATTATTGGTATGATAATAGCAACAGTTAATAAACCTGGACTAAGACCAGAATTATTTTGATCAATAGTTGTAGAATTAACATTGGTAGTGTTTGATGTAGACATAGGTGATGTATCACGTCTATAACGTCGATATACTCTATTACTATCAGAATAATCAGTTAACTGTATATCTGATATAAATGGTTCACAATCAATAAATGATACACAAAATATAGGGTTATCTTTTGAAAAATTAGTTAAAATACATGATGGATATACTACTGAAGTAGTTATTTTTCCAATCACTTTCTGATTATCATTGTTAAAATATGAATTATTCATTAATGTAAACATGAATATATAGATCATTTCTAATGATGGAGTAATTAATGGTAATTCAATTTTATTAACTTTAGACAATTGATTTATATATTTCAATGTAGGTAATAATAATAATTGATTCATAATTGAATGATTAGATTTAGTTATTAATTGAAAAGTAGCCAATAATTTATCTAATTTATTACTGTTTAATATTTGAAAATAAAATTCTAATAAATTAATATTTGGAGAATTAATAAATTTTTCATTAGTAATACGTAATAAGAGACAAACAGTTTGTAATTTAGAAATATCTACACTTGTTGATACAACAGTGGATAATGATGGTGGTAGATTAGATACTTTCATCATTAAATAATCACTTAAAGATAATTGTATTGAATTTAAAGATATTTGTGGAGATAAATTAATCAACAAATCATTATAAAGATAATGATATCCTGGCATTGATATAATATAAATCATTATTACTGTAATCCAATCCATAACAAAACGCTTTCCTTTTAATAATAGATTAAGTAAGACAATTTCATCTGTTTCTATTCTATGTCTATTAGATAACTGAACTGTTTAAAATTCCATAAACTGATACTTTTAGTAAACACTATAGAAGAGATAAAAAAAAAGGTTTCCACTAAAAATAGTCCATCGCCATCATCATCATCATCAACAATAACATCTGAATGTATCAAAGAGGAATGTTAACAGTGACACAACCCTGTTTATATAAACAAATTGATTACTTTACGACTTGTATCAATAACTTTATCTGTGTATAGCGTGTATAGTGAAACATATTAAAGAGACAAATCATCTTCATTTATGTGCAACAACATGAATAATATAGGTGATTGTGTAAGTGTGCATAACTTAATTCTATTCTAGCAACATAAAGACACACCTATATGTTGGATAGTACAACTTACACAACATACAAAAGACCAGGATGATATCGGATCATGAAAACAAGACATACAAATGTAAGACATAAAACCACTAGTGTGTGTGTGTGTTTGTGTTGATTCGTTGTAGCTTCACAAAGAGGTCATAAAACTGGAGTGATAATGCAACAATGTAACCACAGATGAGTATTTTATCCATCTAGTGTGCTTTAAAGCAGCCAGTTGTAACTCAGGTTTAGAATAAATTAAGTAATGAAAAGCGAAACAAACGTACAAATCTATTAGTGGTAAAAATAGTAACTTATTGGTTAGGTAAAGTCTTGGATAGAATGACAGTTTTAACTGATATCACATAGTAACACTCTGAAAAAAAACTAGACAACAAAGTGAGTGGTTCATTAGTTGGTAAAATATGCAACTAGAAACAGTAGCACAACAATGGAGTTTGAGTTGTTACAGTTCTAAGACCTATCCTATCAAACACACACACACACCTTCGCACCTAAAAGCAGTAAGAAAGCTAACGAAAGAAATAATCACTGGTTAGAATCAATAGCTTAAACGTTATCACAGGCAGTTTGAATTAGTCTTATTCATTACTGGTTCAGTCAGCACCATAGATTCAGTGAGTAATGTTGTAGTTTACTTGGTGGGTAGCAGTGGAATCCAGGACTCAAGCTTTATCCAGTGAATGATGATTTTTCCAGTACTCATCGCTTCAAACGCCAAAGCTTTATCTACTAGGCTACTGTGGCACGACCACCTTCTGTGCAACCGCTATCCTTTGTTATGTATTGATACTTTTAGTTTTTCATTGCTATACAGGGTCGAACTGTTCGACTTCTGAAGGCTGATCCCTTTATACTACCTGAATATTCTCTGCTGTGCGCATACCCCCGGCTGATGAGTCCAAAGTAGGACAAAACGTAAATCTTAGATCCCACTACTAATCAACTAGAAAAGTACAAAATGATAGATATTCAGGCAACATTGCAGCATCTGTATAAGAGCTCATTTGTCAACAGAGGTTGAGCAATTCATCGCAGTATATCAATGGTAAACTACAAGTGCTAATAAATATTAGTAAGTATTGGTGGAACACAGAAAATATTTACTCCATTAACCTCATTGAGAGAATTTTTACAGTGATACCGAAAAATGTACATGAATATTTACAGCGAATAAAATATTTACTTGCAAATGTCATGTCTGATAGTGACAATGGGCTTCTATGTAATTACTATTTATTCAGAAAGTGATCCAATTTTGTATAAACAATAACAGAGTTAAAACTATTCCCAGGAAGATTTAATTCAACTTTCAGAATATTTCTTTTACTTTTTTTCATAGTAATTAGGCATTATCAGAGGTCAAATAGATAGCCAACACAAATGAATACCGATAGCGTAATTAGAGGACGAAGTTTATCTGAACAATGTGATGTATTTGCGTTATACATTTCGAACAATCTGATCACACTTGTCAAGTCAATATATATTATACCGAGGACTGGGGGGGGGGGGGGGAAGGGGGGCAAATACAACAATTAGCACACGTTCTCCCACCCTCAAATGGCTTCAAAAACAACTGGAGTATGAAACAGTGGTAAACGCTGGTGGGAGACGACCCTCTTCATCTATAGCTAAACATACCTTAGAAACGAGTCACAAAGTGAGAGTGTACATTTTCCATCATAGATCCCAACTCATCTGGAGTAACTAAATATGAAAATATTAGTGTATTACCTCAAGATAGTGTGGGAACGAAATACTTCTTAACTTGGACTTGTATACCCTCTGGTATTTTCATTATTATACAGTGACAGGGACAATACTTCATACTGCATTACGATTACCATTACTCCAGCTCTCTTACGACACTTTAGATAAGGTTTACCGTTTCGGTAATAAGCCTGTACCAGGTTTCTGGGTTGGATTGAGTTTGTTTAGTACAAAACCTGCAGATGGTTGACGAGTGCTGCTAGATAACTGTGCAGTAATCTCATGGAGTACCTTAGTGAAAGACACAGCATGAACGCCTAAAAGTGAATAATGTATGTGCATCTGTTAACTCCTGTAATGTTTCCCATGAAAAATGGTCAAACTCTGACCAATTTCATTTCTAGTCTTCCAGGGATTTAAGGGTTTCAGGTTTGTATTTGTCACTGATTGACTGACTGATTATCATTTCGAGGACCTGAGAAGCCCTGCACAATTGTTTCGTTCTAGTTTAGGACTTCCCTACAGTACGCACTCATGACTCTGTTAGGGCTTCAACCTAGGACCTTGAAACTTCGTGGCAAGTATGTTACCATTGAGTCATTGGGTAGGAATCCAATGGTCCACGTTTCCTCACTTCTGTCAACTCCCTATGTAGTGCGAACTTTATTCAATGCTATCATTAAGTAGCTGCCGTAGTATACGACTTGATTTGCCCCAACGGTAAAGACCTCTAGTTAGAAATTGGGGAAATCTCATCTTAAAGTGTGTCACTAATAGATACTGGACAGTAATTAAGTATGGAGGTCATGGGTGAGAACTACTGAGTGGTTTCATACAAATATGAAACACCTATCCAATGTTCCCCAAGTTTCTAATGTCCCTCCAACTAATGTCAATCTGTGATGAATATCAACTTAAAAACCCTTACTACTAGACTATAATATTGATTGATAATAATTCAATAGCCATTCTAAGGAATCATGTGAAACAGAGATTACGTGATATTACTTCACATTATCAGTATTGAAGTGGTCAACTCAGAGTTGAATAGGTTCACTTGTGTCAACTATGAACGTGTGATTATGACCTGTTAAAATTTTCTAAATCATTTTTATAAAGTATTAAGTTATACTAATTTAAATCAGGTTAGAAAAGATTTAACTGAAGTAACCCTACATTAACAAATTTGAGCGTTTTCGATAATCATTGTAACTCATTGTATTCATCAAATCTATTTATTAAGCAAAGCAACTAACTACATTAATATTATTATTTTGTTGACAATAAATATTTTGTATTGATATGATAGGAAAATCTTGTAAAACGGGTACATTCCTTTGCATTTAATTATTTTTTTTTTAAATTTCCCTGAAGAAGCTCAGATCAAACTTTTGTGCGAAACTCTGTAGAAATTATTTTTATTTCAAACTTGCTATGACTTTCACAAATACAATCTGTATTTAAAATTTTCTCGTTTGGATATTTCTAGTTAGTTTAAAAATTTTCATAAGTATTATTATCATTATCTATATGATCAGTTGAATTGTCTTGTTCCAACATCTACAAATAATCAAAGTTGATTAAAGGCTAGATTAGTTGATATTACTCATCGACTACATAGATCACGAACAGAACAAAGAAGTATTTTGAATTCATAACAGTTTAAATCTTCGAAAGTATCAGTGTAACAGATCTAATATAAT